CCATTTTCCAAAAAGGAAAATTCTAGTCCGGAACTCAACTTGATATGGATTCAACCTCAAAGTTCAAGAAAACGTACCTTGGAAAACTTCACAAGCCTTTGAGAGTAAGGTGTATCGTGAGGTAGGTAATAAAATTGAGAGCAATAAGCAAAGAAAAAAGGACAATACAAGCAAAGAAACTAAGCAAGATTTGAAAGAAAAAAAGGGAAGCAAAGAAAGAAGTATGGCAGAAAGATATGCAAGAGCAATATCAGAAGATAGACACAAATAGAATGTAATAGGGGTGCAAGTGTACCACAACCAAATAAGAATATATCAAGAAATCCTTCCAACCTTATACTTTTCACCTTCCTTATCCCTCCAAATTTCTCCTACCAACCAGATTCTTTCCCCAACCTTATTCTTCTTCTTTACTGCTTTCTCTTTTTTGGTTTTTTTTTTCTTCAAATTTCTTGATTTTTTTTTTTGATTTTTTTGATAAGTAACCTCCAAATAACTACTTTAAATATCAACAAAAATTTTGGACCAAGATGATCCACACAACACCTTCAAAACAGAATCAAGAATTTCAAGAATCACCCAGAAAAACAGAAACGCTGCCCTTACTTCGAAGATGAATATCTCAATGACCGTAAGGAATTAGCACGTGTATAATATATCAAAAGAACGCCCCAGAAGAGATATACAACATATCCAAATTTCCGATAAAAATAACTAGTGGATCTCGAGATATAAGTCATTCTTTGAAACTGGTCACAGAACGCGGAAATCTGGACAGGGTGTGATTGAGACATAATTGCGCGTAAATGCACTTTGGATATAGGTAAGGGTGAGATGGGGTTATTTTACTGACAGAATTTGTGGTAATATGGTGCTTAGAAAGTGTGAGGTTTCGTTGATATTGGACGGGAAAAAAGGAAAACTATTTCGGGATTGTTTTTCAAGAAACTGGAGAACATGTATCAAGATTCAAGAACACAATCAAGAATGCAAAGGAACATTTTTTTGGGGGTTTTTAATGAATAAGACACGAATAAAAGTAGTATGTAAGATAAGAACGAGATAAACCTAGGGAACCAAAGAAACCAAATTTCTAATGATAATGAGATAAACCTAGGCTCTGATACCAAATTGATATGAACCTAATCCAAGATTCAAATAAATGGAGTATTGTCCCAAGAATGCTCTCAATTGAAGATAGAGATGGATCAAAATACCTTAAACCTCATGAGAAACCCTTTGTCTCGAATCCTCAAAGACTTAGAAGAATCCCATTGTAGCTTCAAGTACCTTGATGATGCAATCTTCAATCAACTAGAGTCGGATCTAGTTTCCTTCGATTCAAGAACGAGTCCACGAACCTAAATCTAAGGTTGAAGAAAGTAAGATTGATTCGAGTCCATGAATCAATTTGCTATTCGAGTCCACGACTAGCCACTAATTGAGTCCACAATTTGCCATAAGGTTTCTTACACAAGTGTAAAGAAAAACATCAAAAATTTATTGAATTCAAGCCTGTTTCAAACTGATATGGATGTGCCTTATTTATAGGTATAGGGCAGGATTGTAATCTAAATACAATGGGAAAAAGAGTCCTAAACCTAATCTAGAAAACAAGTAAATCGAGTTTTATTTAGAAAAGGATTTAAGGAATCCTTTCTAAATACAACTAGTGTTTTCTCTTTTATGCCAAACAATTTAAATTAATGATGACAAAAAATAATAGGGCTGATTTGGGCCTAATTTAATCACCAAAATCAGCACTTAAACAATTATAAAAAGCCTTGAAATCTTCTTCATCTTTTGCAAATGGGCTTGACTTGGATTTCCACCATCTTTGAATATCACCAATGAAGAGTTGTCTTAATCGTTTGGACTTGGGCCTTGTGATTGGCCCAATTGGTACTCTTGATGGATCTTCATTATGTTGGGCCGCATCATCCTCACCTTCGTGAAAATGATTCGACCTCGAATCTTGTAAGCATTGTCTTCGATCCATGATATCACTTGAAATGGGCCACTATAATACTTTCCTCTATCAAATGGAATTATTATTGGACCTTCTTGTTTCTTCCACCAATGATTCTTTAAGGATGTAGTTATGGGCCTTGTGATGAGCCCACTATAGACCCTTATTGGGTTCCATGTGTACTGGTTCTTATTACTTAGCTTAGATTAGTCTTGTATTACATCCCTAGCAAGCTTGTAAACGCGGATTGGAGTGGGATTCAACCACACAATCTTAATCTTAAATAGAGAAGCTTCTTACTCTTCTTTTAAAGCTTTTGTGCAATGTTTATGATATTTTCTTGTGCTTTGTTGTTATTTATGCTTATGAAGTGTGAGTAGTCCGTTTTTAGGCTCGGATTAGGGTGATATTGCCAACCTAGATGCTAAATAGTTGATTATTGCATAAGGGGGAAGATATCTAACCTATGGTTCATTGGTTTGTGAAGGATTTATATTGGATCTTGTTAATATTTGGTACGTAACTCTTATTAACTTGCTTTTGGGTAGTTTTTCTCCACAATGAAAGTTGGGGGAAGAACTTAAAGCCTCTCCTTTCTCTAAAACCATTTTCTTTCTATGAAAATAGGGAAGAATTGGGGGCCTAAATGCTTATGTGCTTTAAGAGCTAGGAATTGATACACCATGAAAGTGGGGCAATCCTTGCTCTAATCCTTGTTCTTTAGCTTATGAAAATGGCTTTAAGCTAGGATTCTTATGTGCTTTGCCCTTATGTTCCCTTGGTTGATATTCTCCCCTAATCCCTAAGTTGTTAAAGCATCTAGAAGGCAACATCCCCTAATTTGAGCCCATCTTTTATCATTGTGTTTACTTGTGTTTAAATTGCATTGTCTTAACTAGATTTTTAGCCTTTAATTGTTGACATTACCCAACCATGAATTTGAATTTGCTTGGATTCTTGTGGGTTCTAATACTTTGGTGCCTAGAATTTTAGTTGTCACTCAAGTACGTGCCATAGTCCCAATCCTTTGCGGAACAACAAATTACACTCGTTTACTCACCATCTCTTTCCCGTACATCAACTTTTTTGTGCCGTTGCCGGGGATTGGTTTATTTGGTTGTATTGTGTGATTGCTTTTTCTTTCTAGCATTAGAGTTAGTTAACTCTAAGGAGATCAAGTTTTTATTTTCTTTTATTTTCCTTTGTTCGTTTGTTTTAAATTGTGACTAAGTGCTTCCAAAGTTTTCTTTGCTTGAGTTTGGTTGTAGGTACTTCTCTTGGTGCATGCAAACTAGGTCTAAAGGGAGACAAGACCTTCACCCTTTCAACCAAGAACTCTCTAGGGAGCTAAGGAGACAAAGAAGAAACTTGCTCGGTTGGTTGAAGGAGTTTGAATTATTGAAGATAAACATGGAGAGGGTGACACTAGCAATCCCGGTCAAATCTTACCCAATGATACAAGCACCCAAAATAGCCCGAGACAAGGGGAATTCAATGAAGCTCATGCTAATGTCTCTCAAGTGCCAATTGCTCCCGTTAAAATACCGGCACAAGACTTCATGACAAATCCTAATGTCAATCCTTATATTGGAGGAGGAATGGGGTTTCCACAAGCTCAATACCCATTTTATCCTAACATGAATCAAGGGGGCATTCCTCAAGGGCATGATCAACCTCAACAACAACAAGGTCAAGGGGTTGGTATGCAAAATCTTCTTCACCAAATGCACCCCAACTTTGCCAATCCTATGTTCAACATGCCTCAAAACTTTCCACAAGGAGTTCCTCCTATTTTTTATCAAGGTGTTCCACAAAGACAACCCATGGCGGCCCATCTAGCTCCGGAGTTTGAAGAAGAGGATTGCATTGTTTACCCGGGGGTGGATGCCAACAATTTTGAACTCAAGACTTCTCTTATCCAAATGGTTCAAGACAATAAATTTGGAGGGTCAAGGGTTGAGGATCCTAAGGCTCATGTTGTCCACTTTGATAGGATTTGCCAAACAATCAAGATGAATGGGATTCCTAGTGATGCAATCAAGTTGAGGCTATTCCCTTTTTCATTAAGAGACCAAGCATTGAGTTGGCTCAATTCCTTTCCGGTCAACCATTTCACAACTTGGGAACAACTTTACAAGGCCTTCATGCAAGAGTATTGCCCTCCTTCCAAGGCCGCCAAATTGAAGAAACAAATTCAAAATTTCCAACAATTTGGAAATTGAGAATTTGTATGAAGCTTGGAAAAGATTTAAGGAGTTGAGAAGACAATGTCCAAAGAATTTGCTTACTCCGGGGGATTTCATCTCATCCTTTTATGAGGGATTGTTGGATAGCTCAAAAACCATTCTTGACACATCTTCATTTGGAGGCATTTTTATTGATATGGGTCTGGAGTATGGTGAACAATTGATTGAGAGGATCACTTCTAACACGGCATATTGGTATAATGAAAGAAGTGACCCACCCAAGAAAGAAAAAACCGCCGGGATGTTTGAGGTTGAAGAAAAGATAGCCATGCAAGCTCAATTGGATTCAATTCAACACATGCTCAAGAATATGATGCAAGATCCGAAGCAAAATGTGCAAGCGGTGACTCAAACTCATCAAGTATCTTATATGTCTACTCCGTATTCCTTGCCACAAGCTACTTGCAATTCTCCCGGGTTCTCAAAGTATGACACTAGTAGCTTGTTGTGCCATATGTGGAGGAGCTTATGCTTCTCAAGCTTGTCAATTGTTAGATCCTAGTGGCCAAGGCTCTTTATCAAACATGGAGCAAGTGGATATGATTGGGTATTCTAGACCCCAGAACCAAGGGCAAGGATATGGAAATTATGGTCAACAAGGAAGGAATCAATTTGGGTCTTCTTGGAACAATCAAGGTGTGCAAGGAAGGAATCCACCTTCGGGTTTTCAAGGAAATCAAGCAAATAGAGGTGGAAATCAATTGAATTAACAATGGAGAGGAAATCAAGGACATGGAAAAAATCAAAATCAACAAGGATCCTCTCAACCTTCTCAAGATGTGGACATGAAGACATTAATGAACATGATGATGTCTCAAATTAGCAATTTGCAATCTCAAGTGGAGAATCTACAAGCCCAAAATCAAGGAGGAGGCACTCAAGGGTCTACACAAGCCTCATCTTCTAGTGGTAGACTTCCGGCTAACACCGAAAATCCTAGAAATCATGTCAACGCCATCACAACTAGAAGTGAAAAATCTTTGAAAGATCCACCTTTTCCATCTAATGATCTTACATTTGAAGAAGATGTTGAGAAAGATGAAGATGAAGAAAGGCCAAATGAAGAGGAAATTGAAAAAATTCTTGAAAGTGAAAATGATGATGAGCCTCTAATTCAAAGAAACAAGTCAAAGGGGAAGGAACCAATTCAAGAAGGAAACAACTCAAGTAAGAAGAATGTGAACAAGGGCAAGCAAATAGATGACTCGGTGATTCCTTGCAACTTGTTGCCATTTCCAACAAAGGTTGTGGAAAACAAAAGAAATCAAGAGAGAAAACAAGTTTAAAACAATGCTTGATAAGTTGGAGATTTCTATGCCCTTTGTGGAAGCCATTACTCAAATACCTTCATACAAAAAATTCTTGAAGGATATTTTGAGTAACAAGAAGAGATTAGAGAAGAGTGCGGTGGTGGACCTTAGTGAGGGAGCTTTGACATTTGCCGCGCTCCAAAAGAATTTGCCTCCTAAATTGAAAGATCTGGGAAGTTTTTCTATCCCTTGCATTGTTGGAGGATTTGTGGTGAGCCGTGCTTTGTGTGATCTTGGGGCTAGTGTGAGCTTTATGCCATACTCTCTATGCAAGAGGCTCAATCTTGGAGAGCCCAAGCCTACTACCATGACACTCCAAATAGCGGACCGTTCCATCAAGCACCGGGTGGGAGTACTTGAAGATATCCCGGTAATGATTTATCAATACTACATCCCAGGAGATTTCGTGATTCTTGACATAGAGGAGGATGCCAAGGTTCCAATAGTCCTTTGTAGGCCATTTCTAGCCACCGCCGGGGCAATCATAGATGTTAAAAGAGGGAAGCTTGTGATGGAGGTAGCTGGCCATAAAATTGAGTTTGACATCTTCAAGATGGCCAAACACCAACCTTCTTACATTGATGAGTGCAACATGGTGGAAGACATAGAAGAATGTTTTGGAGAGGTACTTGGGATTGGAGGAGATAACCAAGGAAGCTCTCTTGTGGGAAATTTCTTTGAAAAGTTGGGAGAGTGCACCCAAATCAAGAGTGGAGAAGCAACTTTGAAAACATGACGGGAGCTCTTGCCATTCTTGAACCCCTTGGAGAGGAGCATGCCCCAAAGGTAGAATTAAAACCTTTACCTCCAAATCTCCGGTATGCTTTTCTTGGCTCTAACTCTACTTACCCAGTGATTATTAATTCTTCTTTGCACAATGATGAAATTGATAAATTGCTTAATGTGCTTAGAAAACATAGGAGGGTAATTGGGTACACAATTGGGGATTTGATTGGCATTGATCCTAAGTATTGCATCCATAGAATCTATTTAGAGGACAATGCCAAGCCCATTGTGGAGCCCCTTAGGAGGTTGAATCCTAACTTGAAAGATGTGGTAAAGAAAGAGATTCTAAAGTTGCTTGAGGCCGCATTATATACCCTATTTCGGATAGCAAGTGGGTTAGTCCCATACATGTTGTTCCGAAAAAGGGTGGTATAACGGTCATTGAAAATGAGAATAATGAGTTGATTCTTACAAGACTTGTTACCGGGCACCGAATGTGCATTGATTATAGAATATATTGAACAAGTCTACTAGGACGGATCACTACCCCCTCCCATTTATTGACCAATTGCTTGAAAGAATGTCCAAAAATGAATATGTTTGCTTCTTAGATGGATTTTCAGGATATTTTCAGATTTCTATCCACCCCGAGGACCAAGAGATGACCACATTCACATGCCAATATGGCACCTTTGCCTTTAAAAGGATGTCATTTGGTTTGTGTAACGCGCCGGCCACTTTTTAAAGATGCATGATGGCTATTTTCTCCGAGTTGGTGGAGGAGATCATGGAGGTGTTCATGGATGACTTCTCCGTTTATGGGAAGTCATTTGATGAATGTTTAATCAATCTTGACAAAGTTTTGTGTAGGTGCCAAGAGGTGAATCTCGTGCTAAATTGAGAGAAGTGCCACTTCATGGCAACCGAAGGAATAGTTCTTGGGCACAAGGTCTCGGGAAGAGGAATTGAGGTGGACCCGGCAAAGATAGAAGTCATATCAAAATTGCCACCGCCGACCACAGTTAAGGGAGTGAGAAGTTTTCTTGGGCATGCCGGGTTCTATAGAAGATTCATAAAAGACTTTTCCAAGCTTGCAAAACCCCTTACTCATTTGCTTGCCAAAGATGTTGATTTTCATTTTGATGAGTCTTTCCTTGTAGCATTTGATAAGTTGAAGGAGGCCCTATGCCATGCTCCCATCATTCAACCCCCCGATTGGAGTCTTCCGTTTGAGTTAATGTATGATGCAAGCGACTATGCGGTTGGGGCGGTGTTGTGCCAAAAGAGGAACCGGAGCTACCATGTGATCCACTATGCAAGCCATACACTTGATGAAGCCCAAGTGAATTATGCAACAACCGAGAAGGAGCTCCTAGCGGTGGTGTTTGCCATGGATAAATTCCGGTTTTATCTCATGGGAAGCAAGGTGATAGTTCACACCGATCATGCGGCTTTGAAGTACTTGTTCCAAAAGAAAGATGCCAAGTCGAGGTTGATCCGTTGGGTTCTTCTTCTTCAAGAGTTTGATTTGGAAATAAGAGACAAAAAAGGCTCCGAGAATGTTGTGGCGGACCACCTTTCAAGACTTGAAGGCCACAAGGAAAATGAGTTGCCCATTGATGACTCATTCAAGGGAGAAACACTTTTCATTTTGAGTGAATTGGGAAGAAACTATGTGCCTTGATTCACGGACATTGTGAATTACATTGTGAGCGGGTACATCTCAAAGGATTTCAATTTCAACAAGAAAAAGAGATTTTTGCATGATGTGAGAGATTACTTTTGGGATGAGCCCCTATTGTTTAAGAGATGTGCCGATGGAATTGTGAGAAGGTGCATACCGGAGGAGGAATTTTTAAGTGTTTTGAGCCATTGCCACTCTTCACCATATGGAGGACACATGAGTGCCGACCGCACGGCTCTTAAAATTGCTACAATCCAGTTTATTTTGGCCAACTTTGTTTCTACCGCTAGAGAATTTGTGCGTAAGTGTGACAATTGCTAAAGGACCGGCAGCATTGGAAGAAGAATGAGATGCCTCAAAAGGGTATACTTGAAGTGGAGTTGTTTGATGTGTGGGGGATTAATGCAACCCAAACTACTGAAGATCCATTAAGAGTACCAGTTGGGCCAATCACAAGGTCTAAGTCCAAACAATTAAGACAACTCTTTATTGGTTATGTTTAAAAATGGTGGAAATCCAATTCAAGCCCAATTGCAAATGATGGCGAAGAACTCAAGGCTTTTTATAATTGTTTAAGTGCTGATTTTGGTGATTAAATTAGGCCCAAATCAGCCCTATTATTTTTGTTCATCATTAATTTAAATTGTTTGGCATAAAAGAGAAAACACTAGTTGTATTTAGAAAGGATTCCTTAAATCCTTTTCTAAATAAAACTCTATTTACTTGTTTTCTAGATTAGGTTTAGGACTCTTTTTCCCATTGTATTTAGATTACAATGCTGCCCTATACCTATAAATAGGGCACATCCATATCAGTTTTGGGCAGACTTTAATTCAATAAAATTCTTAAGTTTTTCTTTACACTTGTGTAAGAAACCTTATAGCTAATTGTGGACTCAATTAGTGAGTAGTCGAGGACTCGACTAGCAAATTGATTCGTGGACTCGAATCAATCTTATTTTCTTCAACCTTAGATTTAGGTTCGTGGACTCGTTCTTGAATCGAAGGAAACTAGATCCGACTCTAGTTGATTGAAGATTGCATCATCGAGGTACTTGAAGCTACAATGGGATTCTTCCAAGTCTTTGAGGATTCGAGACAAAGGGTTTCTCATGAGGTTTAAGGTATTTCGATCCATCTCTATCTTTACATTGAGAGCAATTCTTGGGACAATACTCATCTTATTTGAATCTTGGACTAGATTCATATCAATTTGGTATTCAGAGCCTAGGTTTGTCTCGTTATCATTGGAAATTTGGTTTCTTTGGTTCCCTAGGTTTATCTCGTTCTTATCTTACATACTACATTTATTCGTGTCTTATTCATTAAAAAAACCCCAAAAAAAATTTTCTTTTGCATTCTTGATTGTGTTCTTGAATCTTGATACATGTTCTCCAGTTTCTTGAAAAACAATCCCGAAAGTGTTTTCCCTTTTTCCCGTCCAATATCAATGAGACCTCACACCTCCTAAGCACCATATTACCACATATTCTGTCAAGAAAACAACCCCATCTTACCCTTACCTATATCAAAAGCGCATTTACGCGCAATCACGTCTCAATCACACCCTGTCCAGATTTCCGCGAGCTGTGACCAGTTTCAAAGAATTACCTATATCTCGAGATCCACTGGTTAGTTTTATCTGAAATTTGGATATGTTGTAGATCTTGTCTGGGGCGTTCTTTTGGTATATTATACACTGTCTAATTCGTTCTGGTTAGTGAGATATTGATCTTCAAAGTCAGGGCATTGTTTCTATTTTTCTAGGCGATTCTTGAAATTCTTGATTCTGTTTTGAAGGGGTTGTGTGGATCCTCTTGGTCCGAAATTTTGGTTGATATTTACAGTGGTTATTTGGAGGTTTCTTATTAAAAAAAAAAAAAAAAGAGAAAGCAAAAGAAGAAGAAGAAGAATAAGGTTGGGGAAAGAATAAGGTTGGTAGGAGAATCTTGGTGGGAAAAGGAAGGGGAAAAGTATAAGGTTGGAAGGAGTTCTTGATAGATTCCTAATTGGCTGTGGTACACGTGAACCCCTTTTATATTCTATTTGTCTCTATCTTTTGATATTGGTCTTGCATATCTTTCTGCCATACTTCCTTCTTTGGTTTCCTTTTTCTTTCAAATCTTATTTAGTTTCTTTGCTCGTATTGTCCTTTTTCTTTGCTTCTTGCTCTCAATTTTATTACCGATCTCACGATACACCCTTACCCTCAAAGGCTTGTGAAGTCTTCCAAGGTACGTTTTCTTGAACTTTGAGGTTGAATCCATATCAACTTGAGTACCGGACTAGAATTTTCCTTTTTGGAAAAAGGCTGGTGAGAGTATCTGCCACCTTGAGCGATACACGAGTGGAGTGTGTTTGTAAGAGTGTGTAGTGCACCCCAGAGCTATATAATCCACCTCTTACCTGCGAGCTAAGAATAAGTGAGGGAGCGAGCCAACTTTTTGGTTTCACTAACGTGTCTACTCACACATCTTTTTGTTTAGAATTTTTTTTTTCCCTCTACAGATGGATGAACAAGTTCCAAACCCATCCCAGACATTGGAAGAAAAAATAGATGCTCTAACCTTCGCCATGGACGGGTTACTCACACGAATGACTAATCTGGAGCAACGCTCACAGCAAGTGCAACCACCACACAATGATGAGCGACAACTGCCACCAGCAGGGAGAGTGGATCCTGGATGTCAAAGGATCCAACAGCCTAATGAGGAGTTAGGAAACATTAAACTTGAAATTCCTAACTTCTCTGGTGAGAAGGGACCAACAGAGTATATAGAATGGGAGAATGCTGTTGAAACACTTTTTGATTTAAAGCACTATTCTGAACAAAAATTAGGCTAGTTGCTACATCTTTTAAGGGGTATGCAGTATCTTGGTGGAGAAAAAGAAATAGGGAGAGAGTTGCTGATTTTATTCCCTATGAATCTTGGGTTCAAGTAAGGGAAGATATGCGCCTAACCTTTCGCCCTAAATCTTTTTTCTATGATCTTGAAAGAAAATTGCAGGGAACTGTTCAGGGATCAATGTCGGCTGATGACTATCACCGAACAATCAATATTTTGCTTGAGCAAGGGGACATACAAGAAGAAGAGGCAAGAATTATTGCTCGTTTCTTACATGGATTGAACAAAGAAATCCGGTGGGGAATGAGTACACAAAGATATGACACCCTTGATGATGCCTTGTATGCTGCACGCGAATCTGAAGTAAAAATCAAAGAGATGAAGATGTACAAGCCCAACAATGGTGCATCAAGATGGAACAACACTCGTTCTACCCCTCAAAGGCGTGATGAACGCCCTCTTCCAAGAGATGATTCACGAG